CCCAGAACAAAATCGAAATTTGAAAACGAATTTCCTGCATAAAATATTAAAAAATTCACTAACACGTAGGATGGACTTTTTTTTTTTTACAATAATGTCTAATAGTGTATTGTAATAAATTGCTCTGTTTTTTCTTTTTTTACCTTTTCTTGTTTCATTGTATGTAATGGCAGAGATTCGGGATTAATACAGTACACCATAACCACAATCATATAAACTATTGGGGGGGGGGGGCATTTGGAGCATATTTGAATATTATAATTACGGCCTTGGATCACGTAAATATAAACGTGTCGCTAAACCCGCCACCACCCGACACAGCTAATCTGCAAGCTTTGCCACGCAAACAGAACGTGCCAATTCGTCACTAGTACAGCACTAACCGGTGAGTTGGAGAGTCAATCTACAACATTTACAATCTGAGTACGACGTTTCGCCAGTAATTACAACCAGCTTCAACTAGCTTTACCAGTTCTAGATTTGAAGCTTTCGTGACTGCAAGGATTCATACTCTTAGGTTTTTTCGGTAAAGTCACGTAGGAAAAAAATAATAATAAAATAAAATAATAATAAATGACACGCAGACACACAGACACACAGACACATTGACACCCGGACACATTGACACGCAGACACACAGACACACAGACACATTGACACGCGGACACATTGACACGCAGACACACAGACACACAGACACATTGACACGCAGACACACAGACACACAGACACATTAAATCACGACGTTTCGGAAGACAGAGACTTGTGTTGCCTCCGATACGTTGTGATTTAATAGAGTTATTTTCATTTATTATTATTTTATTTTAATATATTTTTTTACCGACGCGACTTTACCGAAAAAACCTACGAGTATACAGTAGCTTTCTGAGGCCTGATGAAGCTAGGTGTAATTACTGGAAAAACGTCGTACTCAGATTGCAAATGTTGTGGATTGGCTCTCCAACACACCGGTGTGCTGTACTAGTATACTACACTATACACTACACACTACATTACTATACACTATACACTACACTATACACTACACTATACTATACACACTATACACTACACTATACACTACTATACACTACACTATACACTACACTATACACTACACTATACACTACACAACACAATGCACTACACTATACACTACACTATACACTACACTATACACTACACGACACAATGCACTACACTATACACTACACACTACACTATACACTAGTGCTGCACTAGTGACGAATTGGCCACGTTCTGTTTACGTGACAACCCTTACTAGTTGGCTGTGTCGGGTGGTGGCGGGTTTAACGACACACTTACATATTTACGCGGCTAACCCCCCAAAAACCCTCTACTTTGAATGATATTCGTCGCGAAAGCCGACTACGTGTTAAACTGAGCGAGTACTGCACTCTGTGTGAAGCGTACATGTAGCATGTAAAAGGTCAACTACAGAACGTCTTCGGTGACAGAACATAAATCAACATACAAACTGCATTGTTTAAGACTGACTAAGTGGGATATGAACTCAAATGGTACGCCGAGCGTGGTGCTGGCCACCCACCCCCTCGCGTGCTGCCACTCGCCACCAACGAGCACTTGCCCCGACACTCGGCACTGCCTGGGGAACATTTGTCTTTGTGCGCATCAGGCTTCACAAAATGATATTCTTAGGTTTTTTCGGTAAAGTCACGTAGGTAAAATTTTTAAATGAATGAAAGTAAAATAAAAATTTAATAAAAATCACGACGTTTCGGAGGCAACACAAGCTTCCGTCTTCAGGTGGAACCGTCACAGCACGACTGCTGTATCAAGTGAGAGAAATTCCAAGAAAACAGTCCTTGTATATATACTGGTTGAGGGTGGGAGGAGCCAAGGTAGGCCCTGAATATTATTTTTGTGAGGTTCGGTGCGGCTGAAGCACGCTGTTAGGAATGAGCCTTTGTTGTGTAAACTAGGTGCGGCTGACTCCTCCCACCCTCAACCAGTATATATACAAGGCCTGTTTTCTTGGAATTTCTCTCACTTGATACAGCAATCGTGCTGTGACGGATCCACCTGAAGACGGAAGCTTGTGTTGCCTCCGAAACGTCGTGATTTTTATTTTATTTTTATTTTACTTTAATTAATTTTAATTTTTTTACCTACGTGACTTAACCGAAAAAAACCTAAGAACATGAATCCTTGCAGTCACGAAAGCTTCAAATCTAGAATTCACAAAATGATGTCGTCTTTCGACGCGATCGCTCCACTGCTGGATGAATGTCCCTTTCACTGAATCCTTCTACCAGTCCCCATGCCCCCCCCCCCTACCAACCCCCCCCCCCCCCCCCCTTTGTCAGCGGCACTTCGTTTTTGCTCCGAAGTTTATTTATTAGGGGGGGGCTTGAGTCACCTAATGCACATGAGACGGGACCCCCCCACCCCCAAATCGAGGTGGAAAATCAGACGCCCCCCCCCCACCACCCCCGTCCTTCCATCGGGCAGTAGATCGATCCACTCTGTAACACGATTTTTGTTAATGGGTAGTAAGTGTTATTTTTAATTGCGTATGCCTCAAAAGTACAGAAAGTGGCTATTATATACACCAAAAACACTTTGCTTTTGTGACCAGGACTTTACGTGAAGGAATTACACAAATGCACACCACGTTCTCTCATTGACAGTAGGTACATTTTATAACATCAATGTTCTGGTCAAAAAAGCAAAGTTTATGGGAAATAACAGCCACTTTCTGTAGTTTAGATACATAAGCAATTAGGAAATAACATTTACTACCCAGGAACAAAAAAACTAATTTGTTACACAGTTTCGATTTAAAGCTTTCGTGACTGCAGGGATTCATCTTCTTGGTTCTTTCGGTAAAGTCACGTAGAAGGGAAATAATAAAATTATATTTAATTATGTTATTATGTTAAAATTTTATTATATTATTATTTCCCTTCTACGTGACTTCACCGAAAGAACCAAGAAGATTGTTACACAGTGTTATTAATGGAGGGCATGATTAACTTTGCTTCTGTGTCCTGGTAACAAAAGCAAAGTTTGCGGGGAATAATAATCGGCACTTTCAGTACGTTTGAGAAATACGCAATTAGACAATAACACTTACTACCCAGGAACAAAACATAAATACATTTTTCGATTTAAAGCTTTCGTGACTGCAGGGATTCATCTTCTTGGTTCTTTCGGTAAAGTCACGTAAAAGGAAAATAACTTTATTTTATTATTTTCCTTCTACGTGACTTTACCGAAAGAACCAAGAAAATATGTACATTTGTGTTACACAGATCATCGCTGATGATGTCCGTGCACCCCGCGTCTCTGTCTTTAGCTCAAGTGATACGCCGCTACAGATGCACTCGACGCTGTCATGGAAATGTAGAGTTTGCGCGTCAGATTCGCGTTTTTGTTGTTGTACGGATTCCTGTGCCTTGTCAAGTTTGTTCATCACGGTGTCCGCGTGTCAGTGTGTCTGCGTGTCAATGTGTCTGCGTGTCAATGTGTCTGCGTGTCAATGTGTCCGCGTGTCAATGTGTCTGTGTGTCAATGTGTCTGTGTGTCAATGTGTCTGTGTGTCAATGTGTCTGTGTGTCAATGTGTCTGCGTGTCAATGTGTCTGTGTGTCAATGTGTCTGTGTGTCAATATGTCTGTGTGTCAATGTGTCTGTGTGTCAATGTGTCCGCGTGTTAATGTGTCTGTGTGTCACTGTGTCTGTGTGTCAATGTGTCCGCGTGTCAATGTGTCTGTGTGTTTATGTGTCTGTGTGTCAATGTGTCTGTGTTTATGTGTCTGTGTGTCAATGTGTCTGTGTGTTAATGTGTCTGTGTGTCTGTGTGTCTGTGTGTCAATGTGTCCGAGTGTCAATATGTCTGCGTGTCAATGTGTCTGTGTGTCAATGTGTCTGTGTGTTAATGTGTCTGTGTGTCAATGTGTCTGTGTGTCAATGTGTCCGCGTGTCAATGTGTCTGTGTGTCAATGTGTCTGTGTGTCAATGTGTCTGTGTGTCAATGTGTCTGCATGTCTGTGATGTTCCCAGCGTTTCATTGCCCGTGTTTCCAGTGATAAATTTAAAGAGACCGCGACACACCTGGGCGGTGAGACCGCGCCGCTGTACAGGACGACGCGACCTGACTGCCATACCCACGAGTAATCCCACCGACTCACTCGACGTACGTACGCATGTGGAACTTCTTTCGCACCGTACATGGCCACCCGTGCTAATCGGAGATACGAGATGATGATGAATGTTGGACTTCTTTCACACCGTACGTAGCCAACCGTGCTAATCGGAGGTACGGGATGATGATGATGATGTACGTTGAACTTCATTCGTATCATACGTGGCAAGCCGTGCTAATTGTAGGTGCGTGATGATGTATGTTTGCATTGTCTGTTGTTGTCGCGTTCTGACCCCGTGCCCCTACGGGACATCTGTGAAAAGGAGCTTCACACCTCATCGGATTCCTCCAGTATAATTACAGATTCTGATTCTGATGTTGAACTCTTTTCGCACCGTGATTAATCCGGAGAATCACGGGTCGGGTTGGGTAATTCAGAAACAGAATCTTTATGTATCCTGGATGTGCAATCGAATGAGCTAGAAAACTATTTTTTTCACAAATTGTCCAGTAGGGGGCCACGGGGTCACGAGGTTACACCAACAAACACAATACAGCAACCACGATAGCAGTGCACAGTATAGGCAAAGATAACAAATCACCACAAAATACATGTACAAATAAAACTAACTTATATTTTGTCATCTTGTCATGTAAAGCCCACTGAGCTGTTAGCTACTTTTTCAGGGGCGGCCTGGCCACAAATTATAGCTCAACAAAATGGGCTTAACCATCACGTGGGTATTTAGAGCAGCCCATAATGACTCTTAAAAACGTCACAGTTTTCCTCATTAACATCCCCGTTCCCCAGTCTCCATCCCCCGCGCTCTCTCAGTTCCCGCGATCATTAACGCGCAGATCCACCTCCAAAGGTCCCGCTCGGGTTTTTATTTAACTTTACAATTTTCTCCGCCATAAACCACCGCACGGCGTTTTGCCCACATCGGTGAAACATTACCACCAGCGCCACCAGCAACCACCACGACCACCATCGGCACAACGAAAACGAATTGGCGGTGACCCGACGATTTTCTCACGAGGCACGGGGGCTCCGAGCCAAAGCCGTTTTCTTTGCGAGGACGCATGAACGAAAACCGACAAATAATAACAATCGTCATCATCATCATCGCAAGCCGATCGGAGTCATCTTTCGGCCAACGCCGTTAACAACAATACCAACCAACCAAACGCTGTCAAACGATTTGTAAATCTCTGCCTCTGCCCGCTGTTGGATCTGGGAGTTCTCTTCATACCCCTCTACCCCCCACCTGATGAGAACAAAATGCTTTGTCGACGTTCAGGTGCCGGTGGAGGCAGTCGATCAGGAGGCGACATGGTCATCCTTCGGCAGGTGAGTGCACGTTTAGAATCAGCAGCAACATCATTATTTGGCTGCTGCTGCTGCAATAAATTTCCACGTGGTGATGATGATAAGCCCACTTCGTTGGGCTATTACTTGTGTGTGGGCCAGGGTACACTTCTGATAGAGAGCGATGTTATTGATTAGTGGGTCTCTACTTGAGTTGGGCTATTATTTGTGTGTGGGTCAGGTACTGCTTCTGAAAGAGAGCGATGGTATTGATTAGTCGGTCTCTACTTAGTTGGGTTATCACTTGTGTGTGGGTCAGGTACTGCTTCTGAAATAGAGCGATTATCGATTAGTCGGTCTCTACTTCGTTGGGTTATCACTTGTGTGTGGGTCAGGTACTGTGTCTTGGAAAAGAAGAGCTATGTTATTACTCAACGGTTGCCATACCCGGTAAAATAAACAAAAAGTGTTTTTAGTTGAGTTTAATTAAATGTGTGCGGTTTCTCTGCTCATATCTTTGCACTGTTCGAGCAAAGTCCACCGTCTCGTTGTTTAGCCGACTATAGTCGTAGTAGGAATGATAATCAGGATAATTACGAACAAAGTTGGTATAAAAAAAGTACGTAAATGTACTACGGATCTTTTTGTGCGGAGTTGCATGCAGCCTCTTTAAGGTGCCGTGGCTTCGTGGCAGTTATTGATTGGTTGTTAATTTTGGTTGCCCAAACCCTCTGCTGGCGGTCGGGCCTGGCGGTTATTGGGGTCGTGCCTGACGGTTGTTGTTGGGTCGTGCCTGGAAATTGTTTGGTCGGAAGTGGCGGTTTTTTGCGGTCAGACCTGGTGGTTATTGGGGTTGGGCCTGGCGGTTGTTGGGGTCGAGCCTGGCGGGTTGTTGGGGTCGAGCCTGGCGGTTGTTGAGGTCACGCCTGGCGGTTGTTGGGGTCGCGCCTGGCGGTTGTTGGGGTCGAGTCTGGCGGTTGTTGAGGTCACGCCTGGCGGTTGTTGGGGTCGAGCCTGGCGGTTGTTGAGGTCACGCCTGGTGGTTGTTGGGGTTGAACCTGGCGGTTGTTGGGGTCGAGCCTGGCGGTTGTTGAGGTCACGCCTGGCGATTGTTGGGGTCGCGCCTGGCGATTGTTGGGGTCGAGCCTGGCGGTTGTTGAGGTCACGCCTGGCGATTGTTGGGGTCGCGCCTGGCGATTGTTGGGGTCGCGCCTGGCGGTTGTTGGGGTCGAGCCTGGCGGTTGTTGGGGTCGCGCCTGGCGGTTGTTGGGGTCGCGCCTGGCGATTGTTGGGGTCGCGCCTGCCGGTTGTTGGGGTCGAACCTGGCAGTTGTTGGGGTCGAGCCTGGCGGTTGTTGGGGTCAAGCTTGGCGGTTGTTGGGGTCGAACCTGGCGGTTGTTGGGGTCAAGCCTGGCGGTTGTTGGGGTCGACCTGGCGGTTGTTGGGGTCGTGCCTGGCGGTTGTTGGGGTCGTGCCTGGCGGTTGTTGGGGTCGAGCCTGGCGGTTGTTGGGGTCGAGCCTGGCGGTTGTTGGGGTCGAGCCTGGCGGTTGTTGGGGTCGCGCCTGGCGGTTGTTGGGGTCGCGCCTGGCGGTTGTTGGGGTCGAGCCTGGCGGTTGTTGGGGTCGCGCCTGGCGGTTGTTGGGGTCGAGCCTGGTGGTTGTTGGGGTCGAGCCTGGCGGTTGTTGGGGTCGCGCCTGGCAGTTGTTGAGGTCGCGCCTGGCGGTTGTTGGGGTCGCGCCTGGCGGTTGTTGAGGTCACGCCTGGCGGTTGTTTTCCAAGTGCTGCGCTTGTGAAGTGTGCAGTGATCCCAGTGGGCAATTCAGATGTCACACGCCACTGACAAAGGCATAGATCCACCTCCATATAGCTTGTAACAGGTTGATGGGGGCAAGTACTATTAGCAAGTAGCAGCACCTATGAAGGTCGGCAAGGTACACGAGAGGGTGGGTGGCTCAACATTACGCCTGGCCATCTCTGTATCCCCCAGTGGCAATATTTATACACCGCACCAGGTCCTCATTTGAGGCCGAGTCGACCTAGGGGTGGCCCATGACCGGTTAAAATAATTGTCACCCATGTTGTTCGGTCGTGAGCGGGAATCGAACTCGGGTTCGCCGGGTTCACAGCGCAGCGCGCTAACCGCAACACCAACGTTCCTCCTATCCTCCTCCACACGTGTCCCACCCATCACTACCTCTTGTTCCCGCCTGAAATGTTCTTACCCTATCCTACTCCTCCACCCTGCACACCACATGTCCCACCCATCACTACCTCCTTCTCCTATTCCCAACCAGGACGTGTTCAGATATCCCTCGTCACTGACATTAGCCACTGCCCCGAATCAAACTCAGGTAGTCGCCGGTTCAGAGTGCAGTGCGATAACCACCGCTCCTCCCGAAACTGTTATCACCATGAAATAAATCACCTCGCATTTCTTATCTCCTGATGGAAATAAAATAATGATTCATATTCTTAGGTTTTTTCGGTAAAGTCACGTAGGTAAAAATTAAATTAATAAAAGTAAAATAAAAATTAAATAAAAATCACGACGTTTCGGAGGCAACACAAGCTTCCGGCTTCAGGTGGAACCGTCTCAACACGACTGCTGCTTCAAGTAAGAGATGCAGCAGTCGTGCTAAGACGGTTCCACCTGAAGATGGAAGCTTGTGTTGCCTCCGAAACGTCGTGATTTTTATTTTATTTTTATTTTACTTTCATTAATTTTAATCAACAAATTTGTTTTTTCACATACGTGACTTTACCGAAAAAACCTAAGAATATGAATCCTTGCAGTCACGAAAGCTTCAAATCTAGAAAAAATAATGATTCATTATTTCTGCCTGGTGGGGCTTGCATGCTGATTTTTTACCGGCAACGTTTGTTTAAACTCCCAAACTACGGACTGGGTTTTTGCCATTCTGCCGCTCATCAGCAGTCTCTGACTGATAAATAAACACAGCTGCTTGCCAACAAAAGTTATCGCTAAGTTCCCTCTCGCTAGACCACGGGCATTCGACAATATCTGGTAAACAAGGAACGAACTGGACACATCCAGTGCTGTCCCGTGGAGTATTTGTCCAACTCACATGTCTGCTGATGATGCCAACAAGGGTGAAACCAAGCAATTACAATAAGTCTCATCATCACCATTGTCATCATTCGAGTTTCACTTCAGCCGTGTCCGCTATACATATCCACGCGATAAGCCACTTCGTTGAGCTGTCATCTGTGGCCCAGGTCGGTTCTGAACAAAGAAGCTACATGGCTCAGTGGGCTTTACCTGGGATTTAACAAAATATATAGTTTTGTTTTATTTGTATTTCTATATTGTTAAGGGATTTGATTACCTCTCCTGTACTTTGCACTCCTATCGTATTTTTGTATTGGTTGTTGTTGTTGTGACCTTCTCACCCCGTGACATCTGTGAACAAAATAGCTTCATAGCTCATCGGATTCCTCCAGCAGTATAAAGACATATTCTGACATTTCCTCACCCGGCACACCACATCCAGTATCCCCATCTCACGCTGGGGGTTCTCCAAGTCACGTTTATCTTTTTTTTCGTGTAACCAGGAGATAAACTCGATAGAGAGAGAGAGAGAGAGAAAGACAGCGGTCAGGGGTTAAAATAATCACCAGGCTCACAGAAATGTGCAAAAAAGCCAACATTTATGCAACTGAAATGCAGCGAATTTGAAATCGGTGAAAAAACAGCAACAGCTGCTGTTGCTGCTGCGTCATCGTTGTCGTCACAGCGTGAACCCGATGGCTGTTACCATGAGTCACGTGCCTGCCACAGTCTGCCAGAGACCTCGAAAACATATTCGGTTGGCAAATGAATCCTTGAATGTCGTCGTCGTTGTCGTCGCCATCACCGTCGTCACGTCTCCGACGATGAAACTATTCAGTGACAAATGAATGCTTGATTGTCGTAACTATCATCATCATCAACAACTTAATGTCTCCGACAATCAAAATATTTAGTGGCAAATTGAACCATGATTTTCGTCATCATGATCATCAACAACGTCATGTCTTCGACAATGAAAATATTCAGTGGCAAATTAATCCATGATTTTCGTCATCATGATCATCAATAGCGTCATGTCTCCGACAATCAAAATATTTAGTGGCAAATTAATCCACGATTTTCGTCATCATCAACCGCACGTCTCCGACAATGAAGGGGTCACAAGACGGACGGAAGGAGGAAGTCGGGGGAGAGGGGGGGTGAGCGCAGGCGAGGATGGATCGATTTAACCACCCGCACAGCCGTTACGCAAATTGGCAGTTCCACCGCAGGACGGCAAACACGACTTTTGTGGGCAGCCGGCTATTGTGACCGCTGCCAACTCCACGGTAACCACGAGACGGAGGCAAGAATCTGGTTGACGAACCTTTGTACCCAGCTGGCTTTTGACCAACTGGGCTCCTTGTCAGACTCAGAATATTGATTTGCACTGGAGAAATCCGAAGCGCTATGAAGCTTTTTTGCACAGATGTCCCGGTAGTTTCACAGATCTCTCAGTAGTTTCACAGATGTTCCAGTAGTGTCACATATGTCCCAGTAGTTTCACAGACGTCCCAGTAGTTTCACAGATGTCCCAGTAGTTTTACAGATGTCCCAGTAATTTCACAGATGTCCAGTAGTTTCACAGATGTCCTCGTAGTTTCACAGATGTCCCAGTAGTTTCACAGATGTTCCAGTAGTTTCACAGATGTCCCGGTAGTTTCACAGATGTCCCAGTAGTTTCACAGACGTCCCAGGAGTTTCATAAATGTCCCAGTAGTTTCACAGATGTCCCAGTAGTTTCACAGATGTCCCGGCAGTTTCACAAATGTCCAGTAGTTTCACAGATGTCCCAGGAGTTTCATAAATGTCCCAGTAGTTTCACAGATGTTCCAGTAGTTTCACAGATGTCCCAGTAGTTTCACAGATGTTCCAGTAGTTTCACATATGTCCCAGGAGTTTCATAAATGTCCCAGTAGTTTCACAGATGTCCCAGTAGTTTCACAGATGTCCCGGCAGTTTCACAAATGT